TCAGTAGTAGCACTCCGTTGCCGGTACTTGTGCGGTTGCGACCTATAATCGCGTCTACGCTTACATGCGCTTGAAAACGAACAGATACACAATATTTGATTGATAGTCTACGCATGCGTTAACAGAAATCCAAAAGTCGCAATAGAAGGGGAGGGGGCATGCTCCGTTGGTTGAGACTGCACCCGCTCGCTCGTCCCAGTGCCTGTGATGTGGGCACCGTACACGAGCGAGCGGGTGCAGTGCTGGGGCAACGCATGCAGGCGCTGGTTCCATGCGACCTGGTCGTCCTTGCATCTGTTCAGGCGCCAACTTTCAGTGTGCTTCCTACAAGAATCGCAAATCTGTAAGGTTAACATCGTCGGTCGGCGAGGTTGGCACATGCCGAAGGACATGGCCAATGCTGACAGTCATCCTTCACCATACAAACGTCACATGCAGTCGCGTCGATGAGTTACACAAGATAGGACTCATGGACTCACTCTAACTTAGCGTTGAGCGGCGCTTTGCGCTATGTGGGGCCGCGAGGACACGCACCTGTACTTGGCCGACATGGCGTCATGCCATTGCAACCAGGTAATACTAAACGTGTAAATGTATTGCTGATTGTATGCTGGCCAGAACTTAACCAATCGGTCAAATCTGACGAATAATCTGACTTTAGCGTAGCGTCGTTAGAGTCCCGCGGTGGGAGAATTAAAACGCTAAAATCTGACTGAAAAAATGCAGTTTTGGAGTTTTAGCGCCACGAGTATGCAGTTTTGGAGTTTTAGCGCCACGAGTGGGGATGCTCTTAGGACTGGGATTTCAATTCCGAAAGGTTGGGCATTCTTCTGATTATTTAATCGGCTTGAATAGCCTTCAACTTAGCGTTCATTTACTTCGATTCCACTCAAGTCAAGGCAAAATAGGAGGGACAGTTTATGGTGTACGGTTTAAGCTTAAAATATGTATGCTGTTTTTGCTTATTTTTTAGTGATTTCATTTTTCTAGTGATTCGATTGGCTACTCCAAACCTCAAGCAATTCCATTGGCCAATTTGAGTACACCCCGTGCACCATAAACTGGCCATCTACGTTAGTATGGTGGAGGAAGGGTACTAACTACTCCTACTAACTATTAGTTGTTACTCGTCCTGGGCCTCTACAGGCGATTGTTCCAGGGCGTTGATGTCGGCGTCGATCATGATGTCCGTCTTGCACTTGCTTGCGAGGAGGTATGACGTGGTCATGGTGTGCAGCGCGCGCTTAAACTCGACCGTCGACGCCGCCATGTCGCGCGGAAACGTGCTCGGCGAGTAGTCGCACGGTGCCTGCGCACATTCTCGTCATCATCGACAATATGCATGGGACCACATACCGGGAGGTCGGCGGCGCGGCGCAAGGCCATCTCAAACGGCGACGCGACGTTCGAACTCGGAAACAGCGGACCTTTGTGCGGGTTGAATGTCGAGCATTTCACGGCACTTATGTACTGCCCTGGCCCCCTGGAGAGATATAGAAGTTAGTAGTACTAATAGTAGTACTATCATCCGAGGAACGTACGGGCCCAGCTGCGACTGCAGCGAATTCAGAAGTCGGCTCTTGGCAAACGTCGTCCCTGACGTGGCCTGGTCACGCGAGTGGTCATACGCCCCCGGTCCCTACTCGTCGTGTTATATTTGTGGTAGTTTCGTATGTATTTGGGGTAGTTGTGTATGTACCGGAGTGGCATGGAGCTGGTTCGTCGGTCCTTTCGGCAGCGGGCTCCACATACCGCCAGTCGCCCGTTTGGTCAACGGCGGCGGATTGTACTCGCCGGGTCCCTACGCGATGCATCACATGATGACGTTTGTGGTCGTCGGGGGGGATACCGGAGTAAGCCGAATTTCATCGCTCAGGTCCTTGCAATGGCTGTATCGAATGCCCGCGAGTTTGTGGATGCGGTTGCGCTCGTCGACAATCGCTTGCTTCACCTCCTAAGTCATAGTAACACACAGTATCACATACACGCACAATGGACTGAACTGTGTCGCATACGGGTCTGTCGGGCATCCAACGAACGACGCAAAACTAGTATATAGAACGTACCTTGAGGTTGTCGATGCGGCGGTAGTTGGCTTGGATTTTGCGCGCCGCCAGCTGCTTTTGAAACGCCTGGACGTTCTTCATGTGTGCGACATTCGCTTCTCGTTCTTGACTCACGAGGCGCTTGGTCTAGCCATATCCACGAAACCACGACAGTTTAATCACCGAACGAACGACCGCTTCAATCTCGTCGGTCGATTGGGTTCAACAAGTCAATTGTCGATCAGGTCCATGCTAACAATATGTCCATCGTTCCCTTCGACTAATATGAACGTACTTCTTTTTGCAGCAACTGGTGCCGTAGCATAGCCACCTTCTTGTCCCGCAATGCTTGTTCCTGGTATGAAAATATCCATAATATATATAAAATAATATATGTATTCGATGCTGAAATATATTTTGCCTTGTCATCCAGCGTCGACTGGATCCCCACGCGACGTTGCAGGTCCGAGGCTTTGGCCTCGTGCAGGACCTACCACTCTCGTCGTCGTCGGTATTTCGGGATGAGGTAGGTACGTGTACCTGCTGCCGCTTCTTCTGCCGGTCTTCCTCCCGCGACCGCTTTTCCCTTGTAACTTGGGCCTTTTCTCGCGTCAAGCTTTCCTGTTTAGACTTTTCAAATCGCCGCCTTGCGTCGGCATTTTGTTGCCTTGTCTACATACGAAAGCGAGTGGACATCGATAATAATATATATATATATAATTCACATATGCGCCTGCAAAAATCCAAACCATCGTTGATGGACAAGGGGGATGCCGTTCGTTCGAACCTGTTCGAGCAGCTCGCGCTGGTGCTGCACACGTTCCATTTTGGCTCGGTTTTGGTCCGCCCTTTTGTACAATGTCGTCACCACAGCAATAGCTAGCTTTAGATTTGTACGGGCTTACTTTTCAGCGTTCATTTGCTGCCGAACGTGCACTGCGTCCGACTCACCCGGCCGCCGCAACGGCACGCCATGATCCAAGACCAAGTACTGCGCTCGTTTCCTTGCCAGTTTGGCCGCTTCTTTCTCCAGAATCTAAAGATCAGTCAATGTATATCTGCCGCGCACAACGTCGATTGCGGAAGAATTCGTACCTTTTCGTACTTGAGCCGCCCTTTGATCATTTCTTGGAGAAGTTTGTGTTCGTGAGCTAGTTCCTTGGAGTACTTGCAGTGGTCGGTTTCCGTGTTGGGGTCGTCGACTTGCGGTCGTTCTTCGGCTGCAACTTGCAGCAACAACGCCAGATTGTGTTTGCGAGTTTTGTCATAATGCTTGAATCGTAACGATGCGACGTCTTCAGGCACGGACCAAGCTCTAAGGTTTGTAAAGAATATGTTGATATACTTTAACAGCGACGGAAACAACACAGCTTAACGGTGTCACAGACACGAATAGATGGACGAGTCAATTCGTAGGTAGAGTAGACTCCAGTGCCGCCTTCACAACAACATAACACACGACAGGTTGGATCTATAGGAGTATGACAAATATATATATATGCACCTGTGCTTCTCCTTTGTAAAGTCATCTCGCGTCTTGGGCTGTAGCTCATCGTAGACGATCCCTGTGGCGTTCATGGCTGCTTGGATGGCAGATGTCTACCAACCATGGATGTCAAGCATCGGTTGATGCATTGAAATGGACGCACCTGAAGCAGGTCCTCCAACTGCCTTGGTGGGCCATTCAGTATCTCAATGGCTTGGTCTTCGTATTCCTTCTGCTTGGCACTGCGTGGGGTCAACGCCCCTGCTGCTGCTGCTGTCTTGGGCCGACGCGCGGCAGGGGATGATGGCTGGCTCTGCTTGAGTTGTTTGATGGGCGACTCAAATTCCACAGCACGATTGAACAGCGCATTCAGTCCTTCCATGCATTGCAGCAAGTCGTCTTCGTTCGTCACTTGGTAGAATCCACGGACGTCCTTGAGGACCTGCGACGTGGTGTCGTCGTTGGATGCAGCATTCTGCGACGATGTCGACGGATGGCTGTTGTGACGCGGCACCCCCGGGAGCGATGCCATGTTTAGTGATAAGGGCGACTGGGGACTGCCTCGTGAAGATGCTGCCAAAGAACCATCGTCCATGTCCATTTCACCGCATGAACCTGGCTCAAAATAGACTTGACAACCGATGACCTTTCGGTATACCTCAGGGTTATCCGGATACCGTCACCCAATAATATTTTTTTGTGTTTTGAAACAATATACGGAGAATAAAAACGCATACAGTACAGTACTACCATATTTGTCGTTGATCTGCACCATGAAATATACTCGCAATTATAACGATACTACGTAGTATAAAATTGAATGCTAGTATAAGCTTAAATAAAGGATTCATATGTAAGATTTAAATAAAATGTTCAAATTTAGTGCACAGGTACGACAAATACGGTAGTACTACCGTATACCTTATCGATCAGTACCCATTATTATGACTTACAAGTTGTACCCAAATTGCTGTACGGTGTCAATAAAGAACGATTGGATGGGTATCTTAGAAAGCTTTACCCAAGTCGCATTATATTGGTCAAAATTGCCCAATTATTTCGTTCTAGCCAATCAAACAAGTAGCAGTTGTAGAAATGGCCAATCCGAATACTTCGAGTACATTGGAACTAAATTAGACCACCTTATTATTTCGAGCAGATTTTACTGATATTTTCGGGGGTACAAGTCGTCCAATACCGTAAGGTACACGGAAGTCCTTGAAGTATATTTATCCTATTTCCAACAATGTATTTCCAGGCGTAACGTTAATACTATCATAGAATTGTATATTTAGGCATATTTGTCCAACACGTGAAGGGACCGACCCAACCTGCGATGGGGTTGAACCCTTGTCACAGTTCCGTCCACCTCTCGAGCTCTATTCCGCACTCGTCCTTCTACTTCTTCTGTCGCTTGGAGGGGCGGTTGTTGTTGTTGGGCCCTTTTCGCAGTCCAGTGTACTTGGCCATTCTGTAGACAGACCATCATCACATATCCGTGTCGTGGCATCATGACGTCGATACCTGGCGGTCATCTCTTCCGCCGAGACCTCGTCCTTCAACGCCCGTTCGTTGGCTTCATCAAAACGCTTGTTGGACTTGAGCCCCTTGTGTACTTCCTACGCGCCAACCATCAACAACTTACCAAGCCAATATGTCAGGTACCTCTATGTTTCCATTGAACCCACCAAAGGACCTTCGTCCAAGCTTCTTGTCCATCGACGGGTCCGGAATGTCTTGGATGCATGTCAGTTCCCTAACGTACTCATCATCACGAACCATCGTGTGGAAGGAGCATCATGGTGCGTACCCAGTCACTTCGCCCCCTTCGTTGGAATCAACCCACTCGTCCTGCTGGATTTCAGCCTTGGCCAATGCTGCCTGGTTCTTTCTTTGCATAAACTACACGTAGCTCCATGTCAGCGCCTGGCGCCACAACTGATGGAGGTACCTTCATCGCCAGCGTCTTGTGCGACAGCGCAGGTTTGGGTGCCTTGGGTCCATCACTGGCCGCCTTCTTCAGCGGTGCCGCATCGATTTTGGTTGGCAGGGCCGGTGCGTGCGGCGACGGCGCTTTGGTTCCAGGTTTCCACATGACAATGTTGGGAGCCGCGCCACGAGTGATTCCACTGTCCGGTTAACTATTTTATCTGGAGGTCTTCCGGATAAACCCCACAGTGCATCTCATTTTTTGACATGACTCGTCATGTAATGTTCCCGTCGTGGTACGACCGCCTTTTGGGGATGCAGATGTCCGATGGCGGCGTGCGGGGTGTCCTTGTGGAACACTCCGACGCTACCATGTACGGACTCAAGTTCTTGGGATCGAAAAAGCAGGCATTGGTCACTGTGGAACAAGCCTTGCGCGCCAGACGCATTCAACTCGACGGTACAACTAACTCCCTTGATTGTGTACATGTTGTGAACGGGTGTCTAGGGTGCAGCATCACATTGGGAGATCGTGGAGCAGGCATTCTACGCACTCTTCAAGGTCCGACGGACCTGTCGTCGTCGCCATCGACTGCCGGCACATGCATGGTCGAGTGGACGACGGCCACCACGCCACCGTCGGAAGTGCCGTTTACAGACGTGTTGGACCATGTCGTGGACGCGTTCCTGGGAGTGTCCCTGCAGAAAACCTACGACCAGCCAAACGTGTTTTACACATTGACGTTGACGAAGGCTGTCGTCCATGCAGGCGCGCTCCATTACGAAGCCACCATAGACGATGGCGACGTGGACTTTCTCTCCAAGGAAGACGTGCTGCAAGCCATGGATCTCCACGTGCGTGTTATTCCGACGTCGTTTCTGTCGTCTTACTTGTCCTAGGACGTACGCGAAGTGGCGGTGCCGTGCGAAGACGTAGCGACGCCGTCGTCCACCGTCGACATCCCGCTTCCCACATCACCCGCATCCCCGCCATCTGAGGACAGTTCCCCACCCGACGACACCCTCGTCCACGTGTACTTCCATCGCCAGAGCCTCCACATGACCCTCGGCCCAACCCCCACAGCCAACAGTGTGTGTGTCTACAAACTCCTCCGAACGGCGGACGGCTCGCAGGGCGAAGCATCGGCCACCGGTCTCGTGGACATTGGCGACATCATCGTGCAGGTCAACGGCGTGTCCGTCGACGGCCTTAGCGTGGATCACATCGCAACAATCATCAGCCAAAGCCCCCGGCCCATTCAGCTGTCGTTCCAGAAGAAGCGCGACCCTGGGCGGACGTTTTCGGACATCAAAAGCGACCCAACTCCGTCCGCTCCTTCTATCGTTCCCTGTGGCGCCCCCACCAAGCCGCCCCTCGACGGACCCCTGGCGGGGGGTACAAAGCCAATCACCAACAGCAACCTATTAGAAGTGAAAACCCTCAAGGAGGAGGGGTACGACATGGGTGGACAACACGAGGTCAAGGGAGAAAACACTGTGGGGGCGGGGCGGCTATTGCCAACGGCAGAGTCCCCAATTTCCAATCAGGACCAGCGCCGCAGACCAGCGAAAAAGCAGCGGCGCCAGGCACCATCCATTCCCATCACGCTCAGTTGGGGCGCAACTAGTATTACTACTAGTTCCAAGCGCCACCACGACAAAGATATTGCACAACGAAGGACGGCGAGGTCAACCAACACATCTAGTAGCACTACGACTAGTACTACTATCTCATCACCGTCCAACTCAACGCCAACAAGCAAAACAAGGCAGCCCCCACCATGACCAAGGCACCCGTTGTGACCTTGAGCGACCCAGGCCCTAGCATTTCGCCTCTCCGATAGGCTTGGAGTCTCGTGGTGGTTGCCAGTCGGAGGACCCCACTGGAACTACTTCTCTCCAGTCGAGGAAGAAGAGGCTACCGGCACGCCTGGATAGGCATGACTTCTGGGTACTCCAATTGCTCTGGTAGTTATAGAAAACCATCAAGTGTAGTGTAATAACCCTTGTACATGATGTGTCTGCACTATTGACTGTTTACATCAATGCCGATTTGTGATGTGACTTTCCATGATAAATCCCACATACCGGTACAAAAATCAAGACAATAATCCTTAACGTAAAAAACCAATTTAAGGTACCTTTTTTGGAGGCGTCGGAGTAGAATGACAAAACTTTTTAGTCCTTTACGACATTTGAGTTTTGAGTATTGTGATTCGGTATGTAAAACTGTCTTTATAGCCCGACCTCCAGTTGATGTATACATATAATAGTCGAGTTATTTCGGAAAAAGTGTTCTCAACAGTGAATTAGGAATTAATGTTACACGATGCATTGAAAATCTGCAGGAAAAGCCGCGAATTGCAGCAGCTGTACATAACACACAACAACACAAAACTCAATTAGATCATCGAGACTGGCAACATATACTGCGCGCCAAGTCGGCAGGCGTTAGTACTACGAGTACATGGCCGCATACGGCATATCAAATGCCGTCGTGCGTTGCAGTCGCTTCGACATCTGATACAGGAGGACCTCTTCTTCGGTTTCCAACACATCCACCATGTTGTCTTCATACTCGAGGGGCGCAAACTTCTTTACCTGGCCCGCCATGGTATTGGTATCCCCAAACGCGGGGAAGAGTTTCAGAGCTTGTAGGTCGTCTACGATGGGCCCCCCCTGCCGCGAGTTCTTCTCGGAATACCGAGTTGACGTATTCGCAATGCTTTCGAATATACTGCCACGCAGTCTCGCGGGTCAGTATCTGGAGGTTGCTGTCCATGGTCATCATACAAACTTCGCCGTTCCGGTCTACCCAAAAAAGATGCCATTCGTCCCGCAGATTCGTCAACACGGCGACGGGAGTAGGTCGATATGCTTGCTTATCGAAGAGGGTATGCGCTGCCAGCAAGTATCCCGCCGTCTGAGCGATATTGGCGTCCGACAGCGTGTCATGTTTTTTCAGCTCGATCACCATCACCACCTCCGTACGGCCACACATGTTAAAAGCGCAACCTCTTGGGACGACGTACAAGTCGGGGGCACCCGTGAGTCTGCGTCGGGATTCGCCCACGGGGGTGCTGAAGCCGAGGCGAACCGTGGTGGACACCACGAGTTGCACAAAGTCCTGCAGCATTAAGGCAACGTACTCCTTGTACATTTGAACGTTCCTCGAGTCGTTCTCATTCACACCGTCGATCCATTCGAAGTCTGGAATATTCTGCCGCGGGACGCCGTCCACCGGCGGCAACATCCACGTTTTCGTGGAATACCCCAACTCTGCGATTTTCGGAAGCGTCAACCTCGAAATCGACATGGAGCTCTCGTCTTCGTTTCTCTTGTGTTTCTTGTATACGCCTCAGCGACGGGTTGTTCGGGGGCGACCGCGAACACGTAGACTTCTTCTTCTTTCGGTGGGAATGTGCCTCCAAACGCTTTCTTGATCGAGAGCGTTGTCCCCATCGCCTTGAAGCGTTGGACGTCTTGGAGGTCGGCGAGTGTCACTGCTGCTGCGGCTTCGCAGGAGAACCCGCGACCATCCTTCGCCATGAAGAGATCCATCTCGTCGGCTGGGAATTGGTACTTCTTTTGGATCGCAATCTTGCCCTTGAGCATGCCGACGGTCTCGTCTTCGCGGATTGTCACGGGGAAAGGACACCCTGTACCTCCGACAACGACGCAGAACAATTGCGAGGCATACTTGGGGGCGACCGCGAACACGTATACTTCTTCGTTCGGTGGGAATGTGCCTCCAAACGTTTTCTTGATCGAGAGCGCAGGCCCCATCGCCTTGAAGCGTTGGACGTCTTGGAGGTCGGCTAGTGTCACTGCTGCTGCGGCTACGGTGGAGAACCCCGTACCATCTGTCGTCATGAAGAGATCCATCTCGTCGGCTGGGAATTGGTACTTCTTTTGGATCGCAATCTTGTCCTTGAGCATGCCGACGGTGTTGTTCTCGCGGATTGTCACGGAGAAAGGACGCCCGGCACGTCCGACAACGACGCAAAACAATCGCGGCGTTTCGAAAAATGGGTGAATCATTCTGAAACCTGTCAAACACAATATTCTCGAGCACTGTGAGAGTTCCAGAAAAATATCGGCGAGAATACTGTATACTCCGGAGTAATGCACGACGCATTATATTTTCGATTTGTTGACAGTGAAAACAAATTGGCCAGGTTTTAATTAATTTCCCTTACAAATGCCTAGTGATGAAATTTGTTCAAACAATTAGGGAAAACGTTAATGCATACCACTCTGTTCCGGAATTTTTGCAGCATTTCACTTCCGATTGGCCTAGAATACTCAAATTCACGCTGATTCGCGATCTGATTGGTGTTCCAAAAAGTACAAGGATCGAGCTTTGATTGGGTACCAGAAGTGCTCAAATTGGAGTTTTAGTTTTGGAGGGAAGGCCAACCAAACTTTGCCCCTTATTTTCGGGAGTAGAATATTTTACGGTGTTCATTCAGTTTTGCATTTGCCGACTTCTGATTAAGGTACCATGTTGCTGGCACGCTCCTCTACCCAACCAGCTGCGTTGCATTCTGGCCTTGCTGATACGGGCGCGTCCATGCGGGGTCCCAACTTGCGCGACAGCGAGCGCAGAGCCCTCTTTGAGCGAATGCTAGAGATCAGTTCGCGTGGCGTGCTTCCTCGAGGAGCTATAGTCAACCTTGCTCGTGAGATTGGACGTGATCGTGCCACTATCACGCGTGTATGGAAGCGAGGACTGGAGACCCGCAAGGACGGCGACGGCGCAGCAAATGTAGCGTCAAAGATTCGAGGTAATAAGTTAATGGAGGTGTAATATATTGATTTATACAATTATCGAGTCTCAAAACGTCTTATATTAGGGAATAGTGGACGCAAAGTTCAGCGGGAGCGTAGCGACATTGAG